GGAACAAGTAGTAGGAAAGAGAATGATTCAGAAGTGATACTTATGTGCCTTGCCGGTGTCCCTGCTCGGTGGAGTTGAACGGTAGAGTCAATGGTCTTTACACTCTTCGGTCTTCACACGAGGGCTGCCGCGACCGCTGCCGCGGTATACTAAGCTTTTTATATTCGTCTAACAAAACTCAAATTAAATTCAGCTGGACACACTTTCCTGTTTATCACAACAAATGGCCAAGCAAAGCACACGACACTGACAAGGTACGCGATAAAGTACGAGACCACACATGATTTCAGCACGTCTCCACAGTAAACAAAACAAGCGTTTCCTAGCAACGACAACTGCGCTAAATACTGAGACAAGAAATAAATACACTTACAAGCTGCTTTTAACTTCTTCTGATTGACTGCTTCTCACAAAGAGTATTTCTATATGTAATATCTCATGTAAATTAGAAAAATCATATACTAATAATATCTTAACAATGCCAAGGTCTCTGGAAGAGGTTTGGATAAGTGATATTTACGTTCACTGTGGTTGAGTGAGCAGTCCGGTGGCGGTGACTTCATCCACTGGTTGTGCTGGTAGCAATGCAGTGGAGAAAGGAGCAGGAATCCATTTCAACAGCCTTGAACATGAAGCGCTGTATGATGCTGATCTCCTGGAGCACCAAAGGGTCCTAGAATCTGGAACACGCAGATGTGGCCCTGGCATAGGTGCAGAAGGTCCTTAGCCTGGAACACGCAAGCAAAGGTACCTTGGAGTGAAGGTTTGCTCGCCGGAGCTTAACCTTGTTGCAGATGTCTGTGTGTCTTCTGCCTCTCTGGGCTAGAGACTCAGAACTTGGTCAATCCGCTTCGTCTCTCTAGGATGGAGACTCAGGACGTGCTGCATCTGTTGTTTTCTCGCTGGACGAAGACTCTGAATGAAATCTGAGCACAGATTATCTCTTTCCTCGCAGGCTGGAGGCTCAGAACGTGGTCGTATCTGTTGCTACCTTTAAGCTGGAGACTCAGGACTTGGTGTCTGTTATTGCCTTCTCCCTCATTCCCACAGTCTCTCTGGATGAAAGACTCAGAACTTGCTCTGTTAGTGTCTTTTCCCTGACAGGACTCAGAATGAAGGTTGATCTGCTTTTGTCTCACCCTTGCAGACAGGGGACTCAGAACAGTTGTTTCTGTTGCTGCCTTCCCTGTAACATGCCGGAGACTCAGAAAGTAGGTTGATCTGCTATTGTCTCACTGGACGCGCCGGCGACTCAGAATTTCTGTGTTTCTGTTAACGTCTTTTCCATTGCAGTACTCAGACTCAGAACTTGCTCTGTTAGTGTCTCACCCTTACAGGCCGGAGACTCAGAACAAGGAGTGTATTTTGGGAAGGTACCTTTATCTCTTTCCGATGAGGACGAGATTGCAATCTGGCCCTTCTCCATTTTCAGGCTGTGATTGGCTGTTTCCATCAGCGTGGGGGGACACGGTGTGGCCCACCCTTCTTTCCTCCTGTGGAACTTATTTGCATAGTCCAAACATAAAGTTAGAAAATTGTCACTAATGTTTTACCAGTGCATTTATCACTTTCCAAACCACAACCAGAATACATTTGACAATGTTACGAACACATTAAGTCCAAACATGATGGAAGAAGACTGAACTGTCATGCATGCATTCATTTGTCCATTAACAGCTGAGTTTGGGTAAGATGTTGCACTACACGTTGCTGTCACTGAGAATACTTATTTATCTGAATAAGTATGAGATGTGTGTGTTGTAGTTTGCATCAGTTTAAGGTTTGAAAACAAAGTTATAAATGGATTTGGATGGAACTCTGTGATCTCTCGTTTGGTGCTTTTCCACTGCATGGTACGTCTCGGCTCAGCACGGCACGGCATGGCACGGCTCGGCACGGTTTGCGTTTCCACTGCAGTTTAGTATCGCTTTAGAGTGGGCGGGATTATTCACATGTCATTATAGTTGCGCCACCTCTACTGCCACTACTCCTAAAAAAACTTTTTCATTCTGCATCGCCCCATCAAGCTCTAGCTGGATCTGCTCCTCTGCTATCAACAAGAGGAATGTCTGTACTTCCGCAACAGACAACGAAACTTTTTGGTTGTTAAAAAAAGGTGCGCTCGTTCAAAACAGTTGCAT